GTGGATGGGCATTTGGGCTGTTTCCAAGATTTAGCTATTACAAACTGTGCTGCTATAAACATGGATGTGCATATATTGCTGTGCTGTGATGCTTTTAATACTTTTGGGAAGATACCAAGAAGGGGAATATCTGTGTCGAATAGAGCCTCTAGTTTTAGTTTTTTGAGGAATCTCCACAGAGGTTTCACCATTTTACACTTCTACCAACAGTGGAGAATGGTTCCTTTTTCCCCACATCCCAGCTAGAATTTGTTATTGGCTGATTTCTTGATAGCAGCCATTCTTTCTGGCGTGAGATGGAATCTCAGCCTTGTTTTCATTTGCATTTTTTGCATGTATATCATTCTTATCTTCCATGTGGTTCTTAATTTTGATAGAAAATATTTGACAGAATAATTTAATCTTTTCACCAGCTTTCAGAGCTATACTTTTAATTCATTATGGTCATAAATAGGACCAAATTTTCAGTTATATTTACCATACTTTTATAGGAAAACTTTGTGCTTGATTGAGAGAAATAAATTTAGTGATTAATAAATTTTCAGGGTAGGATATTTCAGAAATCACTGCTCTGAATATCAAGAGCTGATTTTTTACTGACCATTTTCTTTTTTCCCAAAAGCTGTTTTTAACTTACATGTAAATAAAAAGGATTAAGATGTGATACATATATGTATCAGCTCTTTACCATGTGTTACTTATATATTGCAAATGTACTAATAAAAAATAGATGGAAACCTTTACAGGAGATTTTTATTTCCTAGACTTCACAAGAAATAACCTGGTACAGACTATAATACACTGAAATGTTTGCCTTTTTAAAAACACATGATTGGGCAGACAGAAATTACTTTTCAAGAAATACAGGAATGATGATTTCCCCAAAGTGGTAGAACTGGGTTATCAATCCCAGTTCTTCCTCTCTCTCTGGAAGAGATATTTACTCACAGTGTGCCATTCTATAACAGTCTCAGAAGAATAGGTCAGGTGTATCTACACTGCACCATTAATGTGTACAAAAGTACACATGCCATGACCTGAACACATGCCATGACCTAAAGCCAAGCTCAGAACTTAGCTAGGCCTAGAAGAGCTATAGGCAACTTTGAATCCTGTGAAAAACACATTCTTACCATTTTAAGGTGCTGTGGATCAGAAAACTGGGATTACTACACAGCAGTACTGCAGCAAAAATCTGTCTAATGTCCCAGCATCTTCCTGTCCTTGGGATCCACTAGCATATTTCTTGTAATAACTCTTCTATGATGTTCAAATAGAGAGTATTTGCAAGAAAATTGTTTACCAGGCAAGCCTCTAATTTTTAGATAAAGTATAGAAAAATGCCACATATTTTGTTTTAAAGTTTTAAATAAATTAATAGTTGTGGTCTGTTTAAAAATTAACTTGAAATCTATTTATAAAATGCTTATTTTTAGTAAAAAGGAGTATATGAGCAATATTTTTAGAACAAAAAGTTATTGATAGAGGTTTTACCTTAAAATTTTTAATTTATATAGCAGGCAGTTCAGTTGCTTAAAGAAAATCAGTATTCTCTTAATCAGTTAAATTTTAATTGAGTTTTTCTTGAGTTTAATATTTGAAGTTAAATTGACATATATTAGTTCCAATTTGATGATAATTTACAATGTACACCATTAGGATTGCATCAGTCAGACTAATTAAATTCTAAGAAAAAATAGACAAAATGTTACAGAACAAAACTGAACCAAGAAACAAACAAAAATAGATAAAAATATATTTTCCATTAGCGATAGGTACTTTGGGTTGCTAACACAACTTTGTGTCTTCTTGTGACCACTTTTGTACTTCCTAATGTTAGAGATACAGTATCCAGATACATGCTGTGAGATGGTTGTCATTTTGGGGATATCTTTTGTCTTCTAATTTATGCTCCTGCTTGAAACATTATGAAATACGTTTTAAAAATCCATATTATAGACATTTCACAAATAAATAATATGATGAAAATACTCCTGGCAGTTTGAAGCTTAGACACTACATAAATCTAGAGTACTGTTATTAATAATATAAATAATTGTATTTACTATCATGCCTTTCTCTGGGGGATCTCTTGAAGCACTTTGCAAAACTTAAAAATTATCTTTATTTTCCTAGACAGTGGAAACTGCCTTCTACCCCATTACTGTGTCACATTTAATTAATGTGCAACTAGATTTGCACATCAAGAACTGGGACAAATGGCTCTGCAGAGTGATAAATTAAAAGGAGTCATGACACTTCTCCGTGGAAAGAGCAAGTCAGCATTAAGCTCTAATGCCGTCTGCAGGCTGTGCTTTTACTTGCCTCATATTTCTCATTCTAAGTGGGGAAGTTTAGGCCACCATCAGTTTCATGATTTTAGATATTGAATTAAAGAAGAGGATCCTTGGAGCTGAAATTCTCAAGGATGACTTAATCTTGTTTTCTGTGTTCCTTTCTCTGGCAAATTCTTATTATAGTCTGCAAATCTGAATTTCTGGCCACACTTAGAAGCTGTCTTCCTGGCATCCATTACTTCTTGTCTCAATTACTTTTATTCGGTCCTAGGGATGCAACGTGGTGTAGAGGAAGTGCGGTGTGATAGTTATCCATAAACCAGAGTCCCAGTGTATTGGGAAATGGAGAGGGAGATATGTAATAGGGTTAAAACAGCACCCACTTTTTAGGTAGTGGTTGGAATTGAGTAAAGCACTTAGAAAAAGCTTAACATCCTGTAAGCACTAAGCTCCATTTATTATTGGTATGGTCTGCTTTACAGGCTCAGTCACTTTGTAATTCTGTGTTGAGAACTATGTTGTTACTGTTTCAAAGGTCTTTAAGGTTATCATTTAATAATATTTGTTATCTTCAGCCAACTTAATTCTTGCTGTTAAGTATTCATCTTCTGATGTTTTTGCCTGGGTTTCATATCAGGATTCTGTTGGCTTCATAAAATGAATTGGAGCTTTCTCTGTTTCTTTTTTCTCCAAAAATTTGTCTCAGATGAGCATTACCACTCCCTTAAATGTTTAGAAGAATTAACTATAATGGCCCATTTGCTCAGGTTTTATTATGGGAACATTGCTGTTTATTTATAATCATTTTAGCACTTGTAGCATTTTTCTGTATCTTCCTCTTTCCATTTAGTTGACTTTTTTTTTTACTGTGTTCCATTTTGCTTAATGTTTAAATATGTAGGCCTAAAATTACTCATAATATTTTCTTAACTAACTTTTCAACCTCTCTTTTTAAAATTCTTCTACTGGTTATTTGTGCCTTTTTTCTTCATTTTGAGTAAGTTTTATAAAGGCCTGTCATTTTTCTTAGCCCTTTCAACAAACAATTAGATCTATTGTTTTTCCATTTTATGCTTGTTTCTAATTTGTTGACTTTTACTCTTTTTTTTAAATTGAGTTTAATGCTAGTGCATTTGATTTCATCCTTTCTATTAGAAACGTTTAATGCTACAAAATCCCTTATAAATGCTGATTTAGTTACTTCACACAAAGGCTTTGTTTAGGTAATTTTCATTGTCATTTATTTATAAATGTTTTTCAATTTACATTGTACTTGCTTCTTTAATCTATGGATTTATGAGTTATTTAGAATTATATTCATTAATTTCTAATGGTTGTTTCCACATATTGTTTTTGTTTGATTTCAGACCCAATTCCACTGTACTTGGAGTACATGGTCTGCAAAATTTAAATCCATTGAAATTTGATGACACTTTCTATATGACTCAAAATATGGCCTTAGATAATATTGAAAGTTATATATTTTGCAATTTGATGGTTATATATGTAAAAAAAGTCAATTTTTTAAAGCTATTATTCAAATTTTCTACATTGTTACTGATCTTTCAATCTCAATGTTATAGTATTTACTTAGCATGTTAAATTCCTTTATAGTGATTGTGAGTTATATTTTCCCCATGTAAGTTTATATATTTTTGTTTTATAGAATTTGAGGGTTTATTATTAGAAATATAAAATTTTGAAATTGTTTCTTCTTCCTTGTAATTTGATTTCTTTATCATTATAAAATAAAAGCTTTCCTCCTAAAAATGCTTCTTGAATTTCAATCTAGCTTGTCTGATACTATTATACTTACTTCAGTTTTTATATTAGTACATATCTGCAATGTATAATAATGACATTTATTGTGGGGAGTTGATGCATGAACATAGCTTATCTCAATTTATTTTGTCCCCTACCTCTCCTTTCCCTACCTATTTCTCTCAACTCTTGGTCCCCTTCAAATGTTTTCAGAGAGTACTGTGTATATTCATTGACATTTAATTCTTCCACCCCACCAGTCTTTGATTTTATAAGTGGAGTACACAGTTCACTTATATTAAATACAACTAATATATTTTGTTTCAAATTTGTCCTTGATAATTATTTTCCATTTTCACCTATTTTCTATTTTTACTCTTTCCATGTTCCCTTTTGAATTTTTAAAAATGTTTCCATTTCCACATTAAATTATCTTGTAACTATAGACACTCATTATCTGTTCTTCCTATGATTATTGTACATACTATAACATACATTCTTAACTTATTAATGCCTAATTTCTCTTAAACTCTTACTAAGTAATGCAAGGTCTTTGGCATCATTTACTTAATTTAATTATACCATATTTATAGGTCATTTGTGTTTCAGAATTTAGTGATATATATGTTTTAAACTTTATATGATATAGTTACTAATATTTTTTAAAAGTTTATATGAATTTATATTTACAAAATAATACTTTCATATAGTTTTTCTTTATTAGCCTATATGTAGTTCATTTTCTTTCTGCTTAAAGAACTTTAATATTTTAATATTTAATAATATTAATATTTAACCTATATGTAGTTCATTTTCTTTCTGCTTAAAGAACACTTTAATATTTACTATTTTGTGATGAAAAATTAATTTCGCGTTTGTTAAATAAAAAATATTGTTATCTCACTATCACTTTTTCTCTTTCTTTTTCTTTCTTTTTTGTAGTGCTGGGGATCGTGTATGCTGTGCAAGTGTTGTATCACTGAGCTATATCCCAGACACATCATCGTTCTTGAACATGTTTTCCTTGAGCTTTGTATTTTGATTTCACAGGTACATTCTTTAGCACTTGAAATAAGTTTCCACTGTGTTCTGACTTAATTATTTTTGGTGAGAAATCAGCTGTCAGTCTAATTGTTTCTCTTTTGAGGGTAATTTGCTCTTTCACTCTTGATTCTTTCAGAATTTTAGAAACTGCCCTAATTTGGGCTAATGAAGATTTTGAAAACACTGCTGCTTTTTAGTGACTCTATTACCTTTTCTGGAACTCGCAGACACTACTAGAGAATAATATTCCTAAATGTGAGGCTACTTTCTATAAATTTCTTTTCCTGAGATTTTGGTCTTTTAATTATTGACTCCTTGTAATCTTTATTATGCTTTCAGAAAATGATTTTTATATTATTTACATATGTCTTAAAAAATGTTCTAAGTGGACTTGCAAACACCCCAAGTGGCCATCAGCTGGAAAATGGATAAAGAAGATGTGGGTTTTTTTTTTTTAATAAAATGGTGTACTACTCAGCCATAAAGAATGAGAAACTAGAGACATTTATAGCTAAATGGATGCATATTGAGGCCATCCTTTTAAGTGAAATAAATAGGACACACATGTGTAAATCCCAAATAGTTTCTCTAGTGTGAGAAACTGAAAGTATAATTAAGGATTAAAATGACTAAAATGAATAATTGATAATTTGAAATAGGAAAGAAAAGTTTCAAAAGGGTAGGAGTGGCAGGAGGGGAAGGGGACAGATCAGAGTTACAGGCTAGAATCTGGAAAGAATCTATATACAGATTGTGTTTAAAACTATAGGAAGAAATGTAGATAGAGACTAGGCTGGAACTCATCAGTGGGTTGGGAAGGAAGAGTCAATGAGATCAAAGGAGAGAAGGGTGTGTTTCCAAAAGAAGCACATACAACTATGTACAGTACAGTACTCGATACTGTGATAAATGACTGTTACTGTTTTATGTACTTATCATAACATGCTGTGCTTTTCATCCTTTAGAGCTCAATCCTTATATAAAAGAATTTACTGTAAAATAGTGTGCTACTGTGCCAGTGGTAGCCTCATGTATCTCATGTTGAACTGCATATTTGGCTAATATCAAGGGATGATTGATGTATACCTTCTCAGTTTGCACTTAGAAGCTGGCACTCTGCATGGTACTTTGCAATACACACGGATGAAATTGCCTAATAACATATTTCTCAGATTATATTTCCATCATGTCACATGACTGTATTGAAATTTAAATTTTAAAAAAAATGGCCTATGTGAAGTCTACTAGATAATTAGAATTTTTTTCCAGATGACTGTTTGTTCAATATTAGTTTTGAAAATCTTTTAAAAAAAAATTACATCCTTTGATGTCTTGTTTATACTTGAGATGTTTTTTTAAATTATATGGAAAAATGTTTAAGTACTTTTCAGTTTTGGTCTGATTGAGTTCTATTATATTTGAATATTATTATAGTTTTTTTTACCTTGCATTGCTTTTCTTTGAATAATTTTAATTTTTGTATATGTGTGTGTCTAGTGAATGAATGATGATAAATTCATACATTTTTATTAAAAAAATTAAAAAAAATGTTCTAAGTGTGAGAACTGTTTAAAATTACTTCCCTGCCAATTGGTAGGAAGTGTGCAGATGAATCCTCAAGAGGTATGTCCAACTGACAAAACTGAAAAATGTATTATTTCAAAAAGCAGCAATTATTTAGTGTGAAAAATTATAAAGAAAAGTAAATAAACTAAGGGGCTGAGGATTTAGCTCAGTGGTTCTACTGCCTGCCTTGCAGTGCAAGGTCCCGAGTTTGATCCCTGGTACCAAAAAAAAGAAAAGTAAATAAACTAATATTATCAGTGTTAAAACAATAACTGGCAGAATAAAAGAAAAGTGATTTGAGAGAATTACTATACATTGTTTAAGATTTGTGTCTTGAGCTGAAGTGAGATGAATCTGTATTTATTTTTAAAAATTTGTTGTCATTTATAGTTAATCAACTATTTTGTATATGTGCTACATTTGGCAATGAAACAGTATAAAAGAATAATCATATATATCTATAGAGCACATTCATGTATTTTAATTATTTAAATAATACAGAATTTTATGTAACTAACTCAAAGGATCATTTTTAATTAGTATATTATATATATAATGTATAGAGATATACAATATTTTTCATTATTTCAGATTTTATTCTTTAAAATATTTAGCATTTCAGTTACCTATGTTTATCCATCTTCTTTACATAGTTATATTTTGAATATATTTACATATTGAATAGCTTTGCTTATATATCTTCCCTAAATGTGTATAGCTTTATATATAAAACAGAATTGTAAACAGTGTAACATTATGGAAATTTATTATATTCTTCAATTAAAAGTAAATTCTTTAATCTTTTGTGTTCCACTTAGAGTAGAGAATATATATATACCCATATATGTATATATATATAAATCACTGTTTTGTGAGATGCAAGTGAATATGTACAAGTCCTACGTTAAAAGGTACACTGTCCAAGATAACAGTTTACCATCTTATTTGTAAAATTTAATCATTTGTTTGGCTTTATTTCATCTTGTTATTTTTGGCTATAAGAAAGTAAAAGGAAGCAAAGTACATTTTACTCTATGAAAAATCTAGCTAAAATTTTTATTAGGAGTTGGGCCCTAAATTAGAACAAATTATTGACACATGGACATTCATAATTAATTATAGATAAATTTATTAAATCAGGTAGCTTATAAAAAAGTAAGACTTTAATATCTTCATGTAACAAATTGATTTTTATTTAACACACAAAATAACTGCAAGGTTATTTTTGAATTTTAGAAAAGCATTTGTAGCCTTTTTCTATAACTTTCTTAAAGGCTAAGATTTGGAGCCACCAGATAAATGCAGATACAAGAGTACACATTTTATAGTGGTATAAAATATAATTATACTGCTTCATAGATAAGTAGTAAAAGGTTTTATCACTTAAGATATTTGAATCAATTGAAATATTTAGGTCACTATTATAATATGTATAGAAAATGTATTTTGGAAAAAAGCTACTAGTAATAAACTTGCTGCACATTTTAACAAACAAAATAAAATCTAACAAGACCTTTGATATAGGATTTGAAATCTTGGTGTTGAGGGCCTGTAAACATTATTCTTTGGGAAGAGGTATCTATTTTTCTTTTGAGTGCAAGTGAAAACATATATTCTTAAATTCTAGATTATCCTGATCAGACTTATATCTGGAGAAATCCAGTTTAGGAAGCAATAGGCTTAGGTGTATATTTTCAACTCAGGCATTAAATAAAAAACTTCAGTTTGTATAGAGAGGTGAAAGTACTTTGGACAATGTCTAAGGATGGGAGATATCACAAATAAAGGCATAGATGACCCAAAGATACAGCAGATCATCATAAGCTACGGGATGAACTGAGCCAGAACTCAGGGTGGGTGGAAAAAATAGTCTGATTATTTGTTTTCAGGTTTGTGGTTATGAGTAATGATAGCTTCTTTGGTAGATTTCTTTAAAGCAACACAAAAACTGTTAATCCTCAACATATATTGAATGAGTGTTCATATATAAAAATTTGATGAATTTGTAAGAAATTTAAATTAAAGCTATTTGCAGTTGACTGGTGTATGATGAACTACAGACTAATACTACTATAAGACACTTGTATTAAAAAGTAAGTTTGAACATAGGGACTTGATACATGATTGTGTAACAGCTGTTCTGAAAGTTAATAATGCTGGATAATGGTTTTTGTTTTCCCTTGGTATGCTTAGAAATTGTTTTAAATTAATTTTTAGAATGACTATTCCTCATTGCCTTTTAGCAGTTTTTGCACAGCATTATATCAGTTTACCCTAATGGGCTAATGCCTTTATGAATGCAAATATACAGCCATTCACTTGATGACCTCATTAAAGAGTGTGCCACTTTTGGGGTTGTGTATTAAAATTAAAGCCATGTTGCAGGGATTTAGTAATAGGAGAGTTTGTTTACATTTGAAATTGCAAGGAAGGGTGGTAGATTTTGGCTTTAAATATTAAATTGTTTACTTTTCAAATAATTTTTTAAATGCGCTTTTCTATTTAGTCTTGGGTACTCTCAAGATTAATTAAATATTGATGTTTGTAGCATTTTATAATCCTAGTTCATACAAAACTAAAAATGGAAAAGTGGCCAGGGAAAATGACTTCTTTTTTCAACCAAAAAGAATTTTTCAAAGTGATTGTATTCAGCTTTGATAGATCTAATTTTCCCTAGATACCATTTGTTTTTAATGTGCCCTTAGAATTTTGTCAGCTACATAAAATTTATATCATAATTTAGTTGACTTTTTTTGCTTTTTTGTTGGCTGTGTACATAAGAAAGAGCCCTTTCATGATATGACTAGCTACCTTAAAATGATAATTTTATATTTCTTTTGATACTGTAGAGCATGAAAAAGTTACTGATTGTTTGGAGTTAGAGATGTTGTAGAAAATAAATTGCTTTTTTTGTTGTTTTTACACACAAGATACAAATGTTAAGATTCCAAGTCCCTTAATGATGGATCCAAATATAAATGTATAGAAACTAAGGAGTAGTCAATATATTTCAGTTTAGAAAATAAAATCATCAGGCTGGAAATGTAGCTCAGTGGTGCCACCGCCTGCCTTGCAAGCACAAGGTCCTGAATTTGATCCCTGGTACTAAAAATAAAATAAAATAAAATAAAATAAAATAAAATTGTCTTTGGTTTTCAGAACTAAAATAATATTTCAAGTAGATTTAATGTGTGTATTTTATATAATTATAACAAAAAATTTAAGTTTCTATATAATGATAAGTCACTTGATGCCAGTATCTTTCCTGATGCCCTCATTCTTTCCCTCCCTCCTCTCTCTCTCTCTCTCTCTCTCTCTCTCTCTGTCTTTCTTTTCATTATTGTGCAGTACTGGTAATTAAACTTAGGCCTTCATGCTGAACTAAATCCCCAGCCTTTAAATTTTTTTTTTTTTTTAATTTTGAGACAGAGTCTTGCTAAATTGCTAAGTTGGCTAGGCTGGGCTTGAACTCCTGTTTTCCCTGTTTCAGCTTTCTAAGTTCTGGGACTACAGGTGTGCACCCCCATGCCTGATGATCTCTTCTTTTTTGATTGACATGTAAAAATTGTCAATATTTATTAAGTATAATGTGATATATAAATATGTGTATACATTGTGCTGTGATGAAACCAGTGTAATTATATGTATGACCATAAACATTTATCTGATCTCTGTGGTGATAATAATCAAAATCCATTCTTCTAGTTATTTTAAAATGTATTATACATTATTGTTATCTGTAGTCTCTTTATTGTGAAATAAAATAACAGATCTTATTTCTCCTAAGATTGTATACTTCCATCTTGTCTTTCCCATCCATCTTCCTCCACTATTCTAGTCTCAAATTCTATGAGATAAATCTCTTAAAATTCTCTGTATAGCTGAGATCTT